GGCGACGACAACAATATAAGTTTATGGAAAAGAAACATCCATAACCTCCAGCACCTCTATTTGCACACCGACAAAACCCACCTAAAACCCTCCAACAACACTAAAACCACCCCAAACCACCACCACAACACGTCAAGTAGATTCACTACCATCGCCAGCATTTCACCATTGAGCACATCATCACCATATAATGACATCAAATGAAAACCATCGCAAGTAGATCTGTGGTGTCATGCTGCAGTCACCATCGACAAATCGTCATCTCCGACAGTGATTCGATATTTTAAATGAAAAAAGAAGAGAGAATAGAGAGATACTGTAGGGAGAGAAAATATTACAGTTTGGGGGTGGGGATAGGGGTAGGGAGTATTGTGGGTATATTTTATAATATTATTCTTAATATAAATAATTAAATTAATACATGAGATTTATGAATTGTAATTTTTAAACACTCGTTGATATGTAATTTTTCCATAAATTTTTCCATAACATAATCCTAGGAGTGAATTACTCAAATGATTACTGAACTTTGTAAAAAAATTTTCACGGGGTCACTGAACTTTAAAAATTATCCAATTCATCATCGAACTTTACAAAAAAATTTCACGAGGTCATTGAATTTTAAAAATCACCTAATTCATCACTGAATTTTGTAAAAGATTTCCCAATGGTCACTAATTTGGGAAACCTGTTGCAAAGTTCAATGATCCCATGAAATTTTTTTGCAAAGTTTAGTGACGAATGTGGTGATTTTTAAAATTTAGTAACCCGTGGAAACCTTTTGCAAAGTTTAGTGATGAATTATGTGATTTTTAAAGTTCAGTAACCCTGTGAAAACCTTTTGTAAAGTTCAATGACTATTTGGATATTTCACTTCAAAATCCCATACCCAATCTAACCTAAAATTTCGAATTTTGAACCAACTTGAAAATACTGGCCAAAACATTTTACAAAGAGGGACTTTTTATCGAGATTCAATGTTGTTTTTGAAAAACTTTTGGTTGGTAGTCGTTGGTTAGGGCATCACCAATGGATGCACCAAAACACAAAATTTTATCAAAATTTGGCGCTAAAACCTCTCCAATGTGGCACCAAAGTTTGTACCATTTTGCACCAAATCATATTTGCCCTTTTTTCCCATTTGCTAAAGTAATTAATGGAGGGTATTTGTGTAATTTGTATTATATATTTTTTAATACAATAATTTTCATTATTTTTATAATAATAATAATAATTATTATTATTTAAAATAAATTTTAAATGTAAAAATAATAATTAATAAATTAATTAAAATAAAAATACAAAAAAATTTAAAATATAGCAAACAAGATTATTTAAAGTTAAGTTGGTTGAAGACGAAAATCATCAGTTTCAAGAATTCCTTGCTTGTTGTAGATAAATTAAGGATAAAGAGGCTCACATTGTATTTCAAAATGTATTAATCGGTCGTTTGTGGTAAGAATATATGAATTTTCGAGAATTAAATTGCAATGATATTTGGATTTTGTAATATCGCAATATCCAAATTCAAAATGTATTTTACTATTTTTTAATGACATGCTTTAACATTTTCATTTTTGCAGTGTTTCTACTAATTGTAGTATGTTTTTTATATTTACTAATGAATTTTATATTTTTGTTAATTTAACGCAATTACTTATTTAAAAATTTATGTATTTGTACAATAAATAAATAAATAATTTTTCAAATAAATAAATTATATAGATTTAAAAAAGAGAAGAAAATGATAAAATATTGTTCATTTAGTGTAAGTGCTTATGTGGTAGGAATTTTGATAATTGATTTTTTGACTGTTAGGGATAAAATGAGTCCTACTTGTAAGAGAAGAATTCAAAAATGACAGTTGAAATAGTGAAATGATGATCAAAAAATTGATTTTAATTAACTTTTAAATTGCATCAAATAAGCTCTAAATTTTGATGTAATAATTAGAGATAATTTTTAATTTGATGCAAGATAAAATATAAAATGGTTCAAATTTTGGTGCTGGACGAGACATACTTTCGTGTGAGCAACTCTTAATTGCTACAATTTTTAAAAATATATTGAAGACTATAAATACCTTCTCATAACCCTAACTGGCCTAAACGTTAAACAGAGGCAGATCGGTTTTGCGCTTCAGCCCGCTGACATCTTCGCGTTTTTCAGAAACCCTAGCTCGTGATATCTTGTTTCTGTGGAATGGTAATTTCTCTTCTCTGTGCGTGTATATAAATATATATAATTGCGGCAGTGTGTATATGTAGATATTTTCAAATCATTTTTTAATTTCGGATTCCTTCATTTTTTTTTTCTTTTCGTTCTGTTTTTCATCGTCACCCTGTTTCTAGTAAATTTGCTTGTAGTTAAGTTATATTATTATTATTATTATTATTATTATATTTTTGTAATTAGTCTTTAGCTTGAGTGACAGTGAATTTATAGATTGTGCTTACATTATTGAAGATTTAAACTCACAAGCAGCAGCGAGTTTGCAGATGCTAAAATTCATGGCCAGACAAAGTAGTGTCGATAATTTTAATGTGGGTAGATAAAGGATACACTTAGAATTTGTTTGTTTCATATGAGTTTTTTCCGAGAGAAATCCTGTTTCTTGTAATATTTTCTTGTGGAGAAGATATGTACATATATATATGTATATGTACGTATGTATGTATGGTTCAACTAATCTTTAGCTCAATTTTCTGTGTATTTTAATACATAACACATTGTGCTTTCGTAATTGATGATTTAAAATCACAAGAAGCAGCAATGTGAGTGTACGGGTTTGCAGACATGAAATCCATGAGCAAAGAAAGTAGTGTCGATAATTTTGATATTGTTGGATATAGGATATACATTGAAATGTTTGGTTTCATATGGTTGTTTATTGGACCTTTGTGTTGAAGAATCAACTTGTAGCATGAGTTTTATGAAGATAGGGTGAATACGTAGGAGCTTGCCTATTCTGGTGATATCCTTCTGCGGATGAACTCATTAACATTTTTGTTTCGTGGACAAAATTTTACCTTAATGAATTTGCTAAGATTACAGGTGAAGATGTTTTTGTAGTGGGGGTGAATCTGAATGACCTTTTTCTTTCCTAGGCATTCCCTTTTTGTAGGCTTGGGCATCGGGTGGGTCGGTCCGAATATTTCAATACCCAGAACCACCCATTATACTTTGGGTATTTCGTAGATGAAACCATTCGGGTCTTTGTGAATACTGGAACCAAATCCAAACTTGAACCGTCGGTTTCGATTCGGATTCGGTTCCGGCTCTACCCATAACATTTTTATAATACGTTGCTACTCGAAAATATATATGTAATGGAGAAAATTCAGTTAAAAAATCTTCAAAAAGCAGAATATTGAATACTAAAAGTCATGAAAATAGGAGAAAATAACAAAAGAAAATAAAAAATGAAATTATAATTTGAGAAAAAAATTACTTTTCTTAATAAATCTTATTTGATCTCTAAGCGATGCATACTAGGCATATAATTTAATTATGAACGATGCTTGAATTCTTCGATTTGTAAAACGAACTGATATAAAAAATACTAATTAAATACATAGCTAATATAGTATCAAAAAATTACGGTCCACAATTGAACTCACTCTGTTTGAATAAAAAATAAAAATTTAAAAATAGAACCACGAACTCAAGATAACAAAAAATAAAACATAGAGCGAGTAATGAATATATCAAATTCAATTGCCATGCGTTATGAAAAAAATTAAAAAAATAACATAATACAAGAAAGTAAAAAGCTTGAATTGCAAAAGAGTGAACGCTTTGACTCATCAACTTGTATTACAATCCGTTTGAAATTTTTGATTTATAAAAAGCTTAAATTGTAAATATTAATATATAATAACTTTTGAGAGGCAAATGTAAGGTGAGATGTAAAAAAGTAAGAACCAATATTATTTTTTAGGGTTAGAGTTATAGGTTTTAGACTAATTATTATCAAAATTAGGATTTTTAGGTTTTATATGTTTTTTCCAACTAATAAATTATAAATGATTTTTTTTTTTTTTATAAAATCGGTTCCATTCGAGTACCCACAGTTCTAGCTCAGGAACCAAGAATCGAACTGAACTCACTTGGTTCTCGGTTCTTGTTTCTAATTTATTTTTTCGGGAACCGGACTAGAACCTCTGATTCGTGTTTTGGAGATTCGGTTCTGGTTAAAATGCCCAGGCCTACCTTTTTGTTTTTACACTATATTTACAGCTGTGCTTCTAACTTAAAAAATGTTCACATTTTTTGCTTTATCAACTTATTTCATGTCATGGTTTGGGCATTTAAAGCTTGTGACGTTTGCTCTTCCCTTTTGAAATCTGAAGAAGTTCCCATGGACCTACTCTCAATAGTTAAATCAATTGTTTATTTGGAATACTAAGCCCTTGTTTGATCCCCATTAAATTAAATTACATTACATTCAATTTTTCTCTCTCCTATTTTTAACCACACAATCGTCTACAAAATAATATTACACGTAAATCGAAAACTTTTCCTTCTTTTTCAACCACTCATTTAAAAAAAAAATACTATTCCCCCCATTTTCATTTTCAGGTAATAGGGGTCAAACAGGGGCTAAAAAAAGGGGATTGCTACATAGTAATCTATATGACCATACCATAAGTATCTTTTCTTACTTTCTAAGTAACCTTGCCAACCCAAACGTGCTCAGTAGCTTCTACTCTCTCTTCCGCAGACATTCTTATTGTTCTCTCTTTCTCACAAGCACACATTCTAGTACTAGCACAGATGTCTGAGCCTGGAATGCACATATATTTGATGCTAATCCTGAATTTTTGAATTTAACCGATTATTAAAAATTATGCATGCACATTCTATTAAGTTTTTGAATTTTTTAATTTTTAATAAATGGATAACCAAGGTCTGAGCCTGGAATGCCTCTATTCTCCATTTGATGCTAATCCTGAATTTTTTTCTTAAAAACCAATCTCTAATTTCTATGAAGCAAAATTTACTTGGATGCTCTGCAGATGAACTTAATGAGCTAAAATCCCAGGTTAATATCGTGCAACCTTAATTTATACAAACTTGGATCATTTTGTCTGAAATCTTGCTGATTCTTTTGTTATTTTTTAGGATGGAGAAAATTCTTATCAAATGAAATTGAAGGAAGCTACATGGATTCCACACTTGTTTCGAGTTAGCGTTACTCTACAAGAGTACAACAATGAGAAAAGGCAGCGGATAACTATCAGAGCTGTTGCTCCTGTGGATTATGCAACAGAATCGTCGTCTTTGATTGAACAAATATTGAAGATGAAAATCTCTAAAGTAGAGTAGCACGGCGTTTCGACTGTGCTTTTTAGTAGCAGTTTTTGGTTTAGAAACCTTGATGAATGCTATGTTTATTAGGATTTTGATAGTATTGGTTATTGCCAATGCTTGTAATATATGGCATTAATTTCTTGATCATTCGTTGGTGCACTTCTTGATCGTGAGCCAATGTCAAGGGGCCGGACCCACCTTGAAACAAGACATGATTTTGTTTACACTTATTAAATCTCGACTTCAAAAGTTCGTTAACTTGAGAACTCTTAAAACGGAAATAGTTGGAGCAATTGAATTTGGGCTTTGCTACTTGGATAGAATTTTGTCCAAACAGGGGGCATGTGGCGCCCCCCTATTGGCAAGGTGCTTGAGCCACATGCCCCTTGTCTGGATAGAATTTTGTCCAAGTAGAATTATTGATTGAATTTAACTGGTTGATGCAATGGCGCTTTAGAAGGTGACTGCGCTAACATGTTCATGTGTTGAGCTCCAATTAATAAATGCCAAAGATAACCATGAACAATGTTGTAAGTAAATAATTTTTTGATAAATTTTTTTTTTACAGATAACATATAACACGACATTGGAAAATGAAAAAAAGCTAAAAACAATTCAATTATGTTTTGTCACATCAGTGTCGGTACAAGTTTTATTAAAAATTTTATGTACTCATGATTTTATTGTTTGGTTATTGATCACAACTTAATTTGACTAGTTTCAACCTTTAAAATTATTAAATCCTGATTATAAGCAAGCTTTTGGGTGCCAGTCCTCAATTCTCATTGCATCTTGGCTTCTTGAGTGTTGGAAAATTATGTGCTTTTTCGACGCATTAATTTATTTTATGATTTGCTACATAATCATTTTTTACTATACATTCACGGAATAAAATATTTTATACGTATACCAAAATTTTTTTCCTACTTTTTAATCATACATTTTCCTAAAAATCATTATTCAAAACTTTTTTTTCCCCAACAATAATGATTGTCAAACATGCTTGAATCCAATTTATTTATTTATTTATTTTCCAGTTAAAAAAGTGAGGCAAGAGATTTTCTGTAAGAATATTCAATTGAAGATATATATATTAAAGGAATTTTTTGACAATTCATTGAATCAAATCTACAAGATACTTTTACAAACTGAACGATATATTCATCCTTCAACATTTTTTAGCAATACTAATGTTATTTAATTAACAATCGTAGTGTAAAACTATGTAAAATACAATTTTTATTTTTCTACCGAACGAATATCACATTGAGGTTTATCCGATCCACAATATTGGATTATATGAATACTTTTGACTTTTGGCCTTACATTGTTATAAATTCTAGGGTTAGTCCTGTGATTGTTGGGGCTTGAGACGAAGTCCATAAATTGAGCCCCCGACGAATCAACGTAAATGCAAAATTCAACGGTGTATTATGCGACCTAATGCTAATTTAAAACCAAGTGTATTAAGCGATCTATTGCTAACTTAAAACTAACATTAGAACAACAACCAAATATATTATAGAAAATATTTATATTATAAAATAACAAAACAAACAATGTTTCAAACAATTAGTTAAATACTATTCACCTTGTTATTTTAGAGGCAAAAACATCAATTAAATTTGAATAATTTAGCTGCTCAACCAATAACCAATCATATAAGCCAACCAAGCCACAATTATATAAGCTGACAAGGTTTCAAATATTTCCAATCTCTTCAATAACAAGTTAGGACAAGCCATTGATTACTTGAAAAGTGGATTTTCGACGAAAATTGTGGTATTACACATCTGAGAATTTCACCATCACAACTTACGAGCCTGAAATAAAAATTTAAATAAAATTAAAGATTTTAATTAAAGAGTGAAGGGACGTGTGCCAAGTATGGAAGTGCAAATTAAGAAATCGGCATAATTGACTAAAGATTTATACACTACTTAAGATCATTTTATATTTGTGATGTGTCACAAAATTAATCGTGCTCTTTATTTCTAAATAGTCATTATGATACTTACACATTATCAAATTTAAGTAAAAATGTAAAATTAAATTTAGTGCATTGTCGCATTGTCGCTTTGTAAGAAGTTATTCAAATCAATTCCCTCAATTAAGTTATCAAATTCATTAACTTGAAAGGGCCTAAAAACAAAAGTTGAAAGTTATCCAAATCAATTTCTGGCACGACTCCGGCTTCTACTATACTTTTAAGGACCTAAAAAGTGAAAGCTGAAAATGTTAACTTTGATAGGGACCCAGATCCAGCTGAAAATGTTAAGTTTATGCTTGCCGTGTAAGTGTAACCGACTAACCATGATAGACTAACAGGAACCAAAGCCTTTTATCAACCAAAAATCAAATCTATGAAATTATACAAATGTAACAATCACATATACATATAATAAAGACAATCCAATTGATAAAATTCATCAAATCAATGGGAAAATTTTAGAAACAAATTGAAGAAATGAGACAACCAGACAAGAATTTGTTGGAGGCGAAGCCGAACGACGTATGGAGCAGACGGGCGGAGGTGGATTGGCTCCGGGCGGAGTGACCGGAGTTACAAAAAGGAGACTTCGATGGTTTGTCCAACGAGCAGACACATGCCTTGGAATTGAATTTAAGATTTGAGAATTGTGGGCCTTGGGATTGAATCTTGGATTGTAGATAATTGGATATATATAAGTTTAGTTGGTAAATAGATTAAGGTGCCGTTTGGTAGTCATTTTTTTTTTAAAATGCATTTTTCTCTCTCTTCTTTTCAACAACACATTCTTTATTAAAATAATATTACACGTAAATAAAAAAACATTTCATTATTTTTCAACCACACATTTTCCATCAATATACTATTCAAAAATGCATTTTTACATAAAAATATCTTCCAAACACCTTCTAAGGAAAAATAGGTTGTGGCTGTTCTGGGCCTGGCATTGTTTTGAAACAATAAATAAAAAAAAATCTGCGCAAAATAGGCCCCCTACAATCTTGGGTCTAAGGCACAGGTCTCATTGGTCTCGCTTCAGGACTGAATCTGTAAATTAGTTTTCTAAAAAGCATATTTGGGCGGGCGAAACGTCTTGCTTTAACAGTGAGCGTGAAATTAAGTAATCAACTATTAAATTGGCCGTTTAATGCGCCTAGGTGCATCTAGTTTATTAATTTTTTTTCCATTTTAAAATTATTTTATTTGACTTTAGTTTCAAATTTTTAAATGACTTTTATTTGTATAAAAGTCAAATAAATTAGATGAAGAAGAGAATGTTAAATTGGAGTCCGTGAAAGAGTTAAATAGGATTTAAGCTGTAGTGCTATTTACATTACGTAATTATGATTTTGAAAATTATCGTTTTGTTGAAAATTTCGAAAGTATATAAGAATTTCCTATAAATTTATTGAGTAAGAAATGTATAGTTGAAATTTGAAACTAGGAAAAATAGTCTTGCTTCTGGATTTTGAAAACTTGAAATTTGTATGATTAGATAATTGTAAGAATTATTAAGGGTCTGTTCGATAGTAATTAAGAAAATCAATTTTTTGATCGTTAGATAGAAAAGTGGATTCTACTTATAAGTGAAGAAGTAAAAAATGACAGCTGACTTAGAGAAATAACGGTAAAAAAAAATGATTTTTTAGAGTAAAAATCAGAACCAAACGGGGGCTAAATATAGTATTTTATAATTTTAAATGTCTGGTATGTATTGTTTCAATTATTAAATAATTTTTGTTTCAAAACATGTTTTTCCCAAAAAAGGGAGATCAAACAAGGGCATAGTGGGATACAACCATTACCAACTCATTATATACATACTTCGTAGGATTAACTACTTACAAACACTTACTATCCATCATTTTTCTAGTTTTTCCCACTCTTTTCTTTCGATTTTCTTTTTCCTCACTTGGTTGACTCTCGTGGTTTTGGTATGATTTTTCATGATCAGTGTTAAATTGTTGATCTAAAAAAGTAAATTGTATATTTCAAAGCAAGCTGTATATTTTTCTGTTAATTTCTCCATAGTTTTCCCTCTTGAATCTCTTGTATTGGGATTCCCATTCTTAATTGTGTAATTGCAAATTTATAGAAGATCGATGAGGATCTTTTAGTCATTTTTGTGATTTGACATTCTTCATTTTTCGATTGGAAATCATGATTAAGCCCTCGTTTGGCCCCCATTCCCCATTCCCCTTCTCATTCTTTTTCTCTCTCTTATTTTCAATCATACAATTTTCCATAATATACTATTATACGCAAATGAAAAAAATTTCATTCTTTTTCAACCACACATTTTTCAAAAAAATACTATTTCAATCATTAAAATTTGACAAGAATGGGGGTCAAACGGGGGCTTATTCTACCAAAGTTTATTGATATTTGTGATTTTATGACATTTGTCTTGGAATACTCCGCTCTCACGCAAAGGCATGATCAATTAGAATAGAGATTGATTTGTTAGAATTTACACTCGACGAGTCTCATTCGTGTCAGAGGCTATTCGAAGCCTCTAATATATTTTCTGATCAACTGTTAAAGTCCTACACATTCCTTTTAATCAGACAAACCTTGATGATCGAGACACGGATATGTATTTCATGACTTGTGGTATTATTCCTAGGGAGTTTCTACAAATATAAAAAGTAAGTATAAATCTAATGGTCAAATATGTTAAAGAATAAAGCTGGATGAACAGGGTCAATGACCACCATTATTGATAGGGATTTAAATGCGCTAACATGTCCTCTTAAATTATTAGAAAATGGAGGGAAATGGACACGGCCAGCACGTGTGTGGAAAAAAGTTGGACAAATAATTCAACAAATACTAAAATACTTTTCCTCCAATTCTCCAACATCTGCAAGGTGAAACCTCCCTGCTCAAATCCTTGAAACGGCAAAGCGACTGGACATCCGATCTCGATAGCTGCTCTTCCTGCTAGGTTACTGAAATTCCAACCTTGATGCTAGTCTTTTCGCCGCCGAATTCCTTTGTCGATTGTGCAAGTTTAATCGTCGACTTTCGAACCACACTTGACGGCGTTTCACCGTCACTGCCAACATTAAGGCAGCTTCGATCTCAACCTCTGGCTAAACATGGTGATTCTGTTGTATAACTGGGAATGCACGGTTCTTAGTATTCTAAACTTTTATAGTTGTTTGGATGCTATTGTTTGAAAATGAATCTTGTAGAAATTTTTGTAAATGAGTCTGTGCATTGGGTTCGTGTTTTAGCCATGTACTATTGGAACTAATTGAGTTCTTATTTTTGGAAATTATCATCATTTTTACAGTTAGAGATGTTATCTCAAAACCATACTCTTAAAGCTGTAGACCATTAACAAAGAGCAATCTTCCATTCTAATATTAAACTGGTGAAGTTTGACTCTCTTTGAATATGCCTCTTTTAAGTTTTCACCAAATAAACAAGCACACTGATGTTCTTGGGAGCCTCCTCACTTGTAAATGTGAACCTCCTTTATGCCCACTGCATACCATCTTGTCTTACTGTGTGAAGATAAACATACTTCACTCTAGCATATCAGTTCAAGCAAATAAGCGTACAAATCAATAAATGTTCAGAGATATTCAACAGCCAACAAACTCAAAAAGACCCCACTTCTCAAGTATTGCACCCAAAATTCAACTGCATTGAACACAACCCTAAAGAAAACAAGATTCTTAGATGTGGTTTGATGTTCGTCGACGGTCAGAGATCTTCATGTGTGTGTTGGCGAAACCTTTCACGAATGAGCTGTTGGAGCGACGACTAAACCTTCCACCGAGGTGTGGCGAAATCGCCGGTGGAAGTGCTGCCGGAGTCACGACGTCATCTCCGATTGAGCGTTGAAATGGGTGAAGATGGAAGGGGTAATATTTGGGGGAAATGGAAATGGAAAACCAATGGTGCCTCACGTGCGAACAATAAGCAATTTATTATTATTTTTTTTCAAATGTTGCCACATCAGTCTGGAACTTAATCCTGTTCTCAATCCCTGTTCGTGTAGCGGGACTATATTTTAAAATAGTATATTGTAAAAAGTGATTCTTTTTGTATAATGGAAAATTTGAGGTCGAATATTATTGTATCAAATATGACAGATGTATTTGATGGAGAAGCTTTATTACGTGGATTATAATGTCTGCAATCATACTTATTGTTTGATTCCATGTTATGAGGCAACACATATACTTGCTGTTAAATATGTGTTTCGAAATTTGGCAAGAATTTGACAATCTTGGGTTTTGAAAAGAAATCTTGTTGGAGCCAAATTATTTTAGGAAATAATCAATAGGATTCAAGAAATATGGAAAGAATCAATTGGAATCCAAGATTAGGAAGGAAACAATTTGAAACCGTGAAGAAAGGAAAGAAAATTGTTGGACATGTGACACGTTTTTTTCTTTTACGTGATTTTCTTTACGTGATTTTTTTTAATTTTATATTTTTTTCCTAGTTTTAGCGTTTGACTCGTGTACTATAAATACGTGGCTCCTCTTTTAATTTAGTTTAAGTTGATTACTGTAATTCTCTCATTTCATAGTGATTGAATAAAATAATATCGCTCATCTGCCAGTTCCCTTTTAATTTGCATCTTTTACTTTAATCTTGTTTTTGGTTATTTTGTGATCTTTATTTATACTTCATATTAGGTTCATCAAATCTCAATTCTTGCGTTGTCTTCATCGATCCCAACAAGTGGTATTAGAGCAAGGTTGCAAGTTCTTCGTGATTTGATTGAAGTTTTCAGAGATGGCTTCGATGAAGTATGATATCCCGCTGCTGGATCGCAATATAAGGTTTTCGCTGTGGCAAGTAAAGATGAGGGTTGGGTTGACGCAGATGGAACTTGATGATGCTTTGCTGAGCTTTGAGAAGATGCCAGCAAATTGGCGTATGGAGGAGAAGCAACGGAAGGATAGGAAGGCTACATCATTGATTCATCTTCATTTGTCCAACAATATACTGCAAGATGTCTTAAAGGAGAAGACAGCAGTTGCTTTGTGGCTCAAGCTGGAGCAGTTGTACATGACAAAGAGTATGACGAGCAAGCTGACTCTAAAGCAAAAGTTGTGTTCCCATCGCATGGCGGAAGGAGGGTCACTGCAGGACCATCTTGCTATGTTCAAGGAAATCGTTGCAGATCTGGAGACGTTGGAGGTAAAATATGATGAAGAGGATCTGGCCTTGATCCTGTTGTGTTTGCTACCCAATTTTTTTCGTCGTTTCGTGATACTATTATGTATAGTCGTGACACGCTTACCATTGAGGAGGTATATGAAGCCTTGTTCTCAAAGGAGAGGATGAAGCTGTTAGTTGGAGATCCTACATCTAGGAGTGGGGATGCTCTTGTTACTCATTGTGATCGACGGAGGGGTAGGTCGAATGTGAGGTACATCAATGTGTATTGTTATTATTACAAGAAGAAAGGACACATCAAGAAAGATTGCGACAAGTTGCAGGGTAAATGTAATTTACATGCAAATCATTCGGGGCAATCTTGTAATTCGGACGAAACCAATGTAGTTAAAAAAATTTCTGATGTTGGAGATGTGATGTTGGCTATATTTGATGGGGAATCCAAACCTGAGAAGTGGATTCTGGATTCTGCATGTTTGTATCATATGTGTTCCAATAGGGCGTTATTCTAGACATATGAGGCGGTGAAGCAATGTAAAGTTGTCATGGGAAACAACCAATCTTGTCGGGTTGCCGTAATCGGTCGGGTCAGATTGAGGCTATAAGATGGGACAGTGAGGACACTTGATCAGGTTCACCATGTTCCAAACTTGACAAAGAATCTCATATCGCTGAGTACCCTGGATGCAAAAGGGTATAAATTTTCTGGTGGAGGTGGAGTTCTGAAAGTTCAGAAAGGTGTTCGGGTTGTACTGGAGGGACGGATGAGATCCCAGTTGTACATTTTGCAGGGAAGCGCAGAACCAGTTCAGAGACATTTGAACAAGTTTAGTACCGTGGTGGAAATTCAGTTTGGTACATTACCTATTGTGTTAGGCTCTGGGCCAGTTTCGAACTTTGCTCGTGGGAGTGTTGGTGATTCTGCTTTGCCACCAATTTCAGTAGATACACTTTGTTCTTGTGCTGGTGGACTCATGGAGCGTAGGTTTAGTGGTGTCAATAATGTCTGTAATGCCTTAGGGATCATTGAAGGTGACAGTTCTAACAAGGGGCCTTCTGATCGTGCATTTGGTGTGGTTTTTGTTACAGGGTGTGCTTCGACCCTGTTTAGTGATTATTAATTTCAGGTGAATTTTGGGAACCCGAGTTTGGTTTCGAGTGTCGCATGTGGACACCGGGCGAGGGAACGTGTTTTCGTGGAGAGTTTGGTTACTGTGTTGAGGAGCTTGGTTATTCTGATCCAGACGGATCATTTCTCAAGGTGGAGAAATTTGGAGCATCGTTCGTTGCACAGGAATCTCAAATCAAGGTGGAGATTGTTAAATATGTGTCTCGAAATTTGACAATCTTGGATTTTGGAAAGAAATCTTGTTGGAGCCATTTGATTTTAGGAAATAATCAATAGGATTCAAGAAATATGGAAAGAATCAATTGGAATCCAAGATTAGGAATGGAACAATTTGAAACCGTAAAGAAAGGAAAGAAAATTGTTGGACGCGTGACACGTCCTTTTCTTTTACGTGATTTTTTTCCTAGTTTTAACATTTGACTCGTGTACTATAAATACGTGGCTTTTCTTTCAATTTAGTTTAAGCCAATTGCTGTAATTCTCTCCTTTCATAGTGATTGAATAAAATAACATCATTCCTCTGCCAGTTTCCTTTTATTTTGCATCTTTTACTTTAATTTTGTTCTTGGTTATTTTGTGATCTTTATTTATACTTCATATTGGGTTAATCAAATCTCAATTCTTGCATTGTCTTCATCGGTCCCAACACCGCAACTCATGCTTGTTTACCAATTCTATTAGTTGAATTTATTGCAATTAACAATGATTTAAATTAATCAAATTATTCGTTTGGATGTAAAATTAAAAAATAAAATTCTTGCAAAATAAATAGATTAAGCCCTGTTTGAGCCACATTATTTTAAAAATGAGAATGAAAAATATAGTCGTTATGGATTCCACACAAGAGATAAAAAGTTAAATATGGTGACTTGATGTGATGGATAACGATCATATTTTTCATTTTAATTAAAAAATAATGGGCTCAAACAGGGCCTAAAAATACAATTATTCGTACATCTTTTAATGCACCTCTAAACTTGGTGGTCAAGAACTTTGCTTGCCAATCAAGAGTCAATTGCAAGAAATTAAAATGAGGGTCCTTTTCTACTATAATTTTGGTCTCCCACATAAGTCATGGTAACAATTATTAAACAATTCATACAAGTAATTACAAAGAAAATGCTTTTGATGTTACACCATGCATATTCGTCCACTTTAAGGAGCCGCTTGTCAAATCATCTACCACTCATAGTACTTGCGCCCTATTTTTTATTAGAAAAATCTCGTTTTCTAGGAAAACGCGTAAGAAGTTTCTTTATACCTTTTCTTGGCCTTTCTCTGTGTCCCAGTTGTTGATTTTGTGTGATCGTTCTAATTCATGGAAGTTCAAGAAACAAGCCAAATTCTTGAGGTTTAAAGTTTATCTCTTAATCTTCGTTTTTAATTTACATATTTACTTCCTGTAATCGTATTTGCTTTAATGGGTTGTGATTAGATGATTGTTAGCTTTTGTACTTTGAAATTTTTGTGGAAATCACAGTTTGTGTTTAATTTGATCAGTGTGTTAGTATGATGAACACTAAAGGGTTAAAGAGGAAGAAACCCTGAACTTCTTCTTCTTCATTTTTTTTTTCAATATTGTTATTATTATTCATTGATTTGTTCAAATTGGAATGGTCTTTGTTTCTTCAAAATTTGAGTGAGATTTACGGTTTAGATTGGAAATTATTAGGAGTCTTTTTGGTCTTCTTATTCACGTGTTTCTGCATTCAAGCTAGTATTGACTGAAGACCTGTAAGCCTTAAAATCAATTTGTTTTGCTATCATCCAACAAAAAAAGGTGTTCTTGTTCTACAATTTTTGTTGGGTCATTTGAGAATATTCTTGAAAATGGGTGATGCGGAAGAACACGTGATTGCTGCAGCCTATCACGTGGTGAAGGCGCTTGAGGCTACTAAGAATTTGAATTTCAGTAATGATGTGAGAAGACTTCTGGCAGATCTTGACGCTCACTTGTCCACGATGACCACAGTCGGTGAGAATGAGGTCGAGAAGACTAGAGACATTGAGAATAGGCTCCGGTCATCTCAGGAAAAGATCACGGGATTGCATTCAAATCACTTGAGGATTTGGAATTCCAGTCCCGCGATAGTTTCAGAATATTTGCAGGCTGTTGATGAGGTTCGGAGGTTGATAGAAACTTTAGAAAGTTACCCCTCCAAGAAAACTTGGAAACAGAGGGACCTGTTGGATCGAGCTCAATGTACATTGCAGATTGCAATGACAAGGCTCCAAGACGAACTGGTCCATATTCTTGCTCAGAGTAAACAACATTTTGAGCAAGAATACATGTTCTACCCCACTTGTGAAGAAAATTCTGTATACGAGGAATCAGTTGTTTCGAATGGGGGAGATTCAGTGCAAGAGGATATGTCTCAGAGGGAGAGCAGCAGCACAGAAACTGAGGAATATGTAATGGATTTGGTCCATCCAGATGTCATTCCTAAAATCGCGTCTATAGCAAACATTATGTTTGCTTCACATTATGATCATGAATTTTGTCAGGCTTTTGTTCGATTCTGGAGAGATGAATTGGCTAAGCATATGATGATTTTGAATGTGGAACAATTCAGCGTTGAGGATGTGCTGAAAATGGAGTGGAAATGTTTGAACTCCAGAATCAGGAAATGGCGTCGAGCAATAAAGAATGTTGTTGGGATCTATCTTGCTAGTGAGAAACGCTTATTCGACCAAGTTCTGGGAGAATATGGAACTATTAGTTCGACTAGCTTAGTTGAGGCTTCGAAGGTTTCTCTCTTATGCCTGTTGAACTTTGGCCATGCTGTTGCAATTGGACCACATCGACCAGAACGGCTTTATTGCTTACTCGATATGTACGAGGTTTTAGCTTCTCTAATTTCAGATGTAGAATCTCTGTTTCCAGAAGAGGCTGGGCGTTCCATTAGGATCGAATTTCACGATCTTTTGAGGAGACTTGGGGATTCTGCAAAGGCCATCTTTATGGAGTTCGGCAACCACATTGCCTCTCGTGCTTCTAGAACACCTTTTGCAAATGGTGGCATCCACCCCCTAACCAAGTATGTAGTGAACTACATCCTGTGTCTTGTAGAGTATGGTGATACCCTCAATTTGCTTCTTGCAGAGAAAGATGGGGTAAATTTGGATATGGGTTCTAATGAAAACATTGGGCAGACGACTATCTCTTGCCCAGTAGCTGTTCACCTGCAGTCGGTGACATCAATTCTAGAAGCCAACCTTGACATTAACTCCAATCTATACATAAATACTTCTTTAAAGTATATATTTGTGATGAATAACATCCATTACATGTACGATAAGATCAAGAGCTCCGAAGTCAGGAGATATTTCGGTGATGAATGGATTCGTGAACATATTGCAAAATACCGGCGGCATGCTATGAGCTATGAGAGATTCACGTGGAACTCTATTCTTAGCTTGATAAGGATAAGGGACGATGGGAAAACCGGAAAGGCAACTCTAAAAGAGAGATGCCGGGATTTCAGTATTGCTTTTGAGGATGTGTATAAGATACAGACAGCATGGTACGTCCCTAACCTTAAACTTCGCGAAGAGTTAAGGATCTCGATTTCACAGAGAGTTATTCCTGCATACCGTAACTTTGTTGGCAACATTACCAATTCTATTGGTGAAAAGTACCTTAAGTACACTGTACATGACTTGGAATCTTACATCTTGGATCTGCTTGATAATTCACAGAAGTCGTTGAAACATCCCGGATGAAGGAGGCGACAATTTTAAACAGTATTTCTCTCTTTCCTTCTGTTGTAATTAGTAAAATAATGTGATGAATTTGTCTTAAAATTCTGTCTAAAATTATTTGCAGTCCAAACTTGTGTTTATAGCTGTAGAGTTTTTACTCTGCCACATCCCGTATACAGTAGGGTAATTGAATTGTTAAGACGACTTATACCGAGCATATGCTTATTTTTGGTTTTCTTAGAGTTAGATGTTTCACCTACGCTAGTAGAATTCACAGTGAGAACTGAGATGTCTCGTTTATGTCCGAGATCATTTTTGGTAAGTATTGTGCCCTTTAACTTTATATAATAATAAAAATTTTAAATCTTAAAATTAATAAAAAATATGTACCATTATAAATATGTTCTTCAACATATATATAAATTTGGTGTCCCTATAATGTTAAGGCTTTGTGCGGTCGCTCAACTTGCACGACCTCAGGCCATCTCTGGCCACGGTGATCGAGGCATAAATAAGGATTACATGACGTGAACAAGCAATGAGGTCCTTTTTCTGGCTGATGTGGCATTTAGGTAGACTATGATAATTTTTGTGTACAATAACTTGTTTATATTTTCATTCATTTTTTTATTTTGTTTAATTAAAATTAATTGTTATTCCTCCTTAAAATAATTGACTATGAATTTTAAGTTAGAGAGTAGGTCTCTCTATAATTAAATGCATTCAAATTGTTTCAATTTTCAGTGTAGGAAAATAATAAAATAATTTAAAGAAAAGCTAGTTAAAATAATAAATAGATAAAAATAATAAATATTTTTGGAGAGTTGTAAAATTAAGTGTTAAATATAAAGAGGTGATTATAGTATTTTAAAATTTTAATTCTCTAAATTTATAAATGCACTCTAAATAATAGAATATACTCTTTAAAAATAGAGTCTCTTAAAGATACTTTAAAATAAGTAGAAATATTATTGATATTGTCCCAAAGGATGTACACTTAGCAAATTTTTTTGGAAAACTATATATTCATCAAAAAGTAAATAAAAAGTAGGAAAATTTATGGTAGAAATTTCAAACATTTCAAAATAATGCAAAATTACACCCAAACTTTTAAATTGCATTAGATAGCCCCAACACTTTCAGAAAATGTGCGACAGGAAGACCTCTAAATATATATAAAGAGAGGGGAACAGAGGAGAAATTAAAATAGTAATTTCGTCATCTTCTTTTCGACCATGCTACCCCACCTACGCCCGCCACTACCACCGCCTCCATCGAGTCCCAATTTCATATGCCGAAATCAGCTGAGTTTCGCACATGAAATTCTTGAAATTTCACATTCTGCAACATATATCATGGAAGATGAAATGAAGCAAATAGTGTGGAAGATGAAATGAGAGCCATTTGTTGAATTTTTAGATGGGTTTTTATGGTCAATTAGGGTCGTATAAATGGCGGTGGCATTGTATTCCCAAGTTGGATGCAATTTATTCCTCTATTGTTGGCTGTGGGAGGATGATAAAATTAAACAGTAAAAAGTAGCGTGGAGCAGGTGAATTTGGTTTGATTGGATTGAAAAAAGGTTGAACCCAGTCTCCCACCGCGCCTGTCCTGGAGTATCGTGAGGGAGGTAAATCGCAGATTATGCCTCTAAGGGTAGAGGGTGGAAGGCTGCTTGTACACTTGCACTTACCCAAGAGCCAAATCCATATTTCAGGATTCAAACCCTTAACCTAACAGCCTCAAGCAAAGTTGGATTTTTCCACCCTCCCTTTTTACCACTAGAAGATGTGTCCTGTGGGTTGGCTTGATTGGATTGGCTTGGATGGGAGGGGAAAGAAGATGAGTATTTTTTTTTTTTTTGAAAAAGGTAACGAGATTTTTTTTTCCCTTCATTGGATTGGTTATGGTCAACTAAAAAATTTTTGGACGAAAAATCATTAGGAGGTCTCTTTGTCGTACATTTTTGAAAGGTTTGGAGATTATTTTCGACGATTAAAAGATTTAAACATAATTTACTCGCTTTTGAAAGGTTTTGGACCTTTTCCCTAAAAGTATAAAGGACACACTTCTTAATTTTCCTCAATTAGAACACTATCCTATTGAAAAAATATTTATTTTCTGCACTTTCCTAAAAAAAATAATTAATAATCAATTATACTCTTTTTCTTTTTCTTTTTTTCTTTTTTCTTTTTTTTTTTAATGATTACACTCATTTTACTCATTACCATTCCTACCTTGGTTCTTGACTTCTTGTTTTTATTACATTATTTTTCTTCATTTAAATTTAAATCGAATTTTAAAAAATTAAAACAAATAAATAAGTAACAAAGAAAGTAGATGAGGATATTTTATCCACGTTGCATGTAGGAGCGAGCCAGAAAAATTTTTCAGTGCAGGCAAAATTTTTTATTAAATTTGAAGTGTAAAAAAATTCTCTTTATAACAAAGTGACTCGTAAAAAGCCTATAAAAGTTGTTTAGGAACCAGATTAGTTAACCAAGATCTTTCACTAGGCCTTTTATAAAAAGAAAACAATGGCAATCAGTTTAGTAATTTTTCTTCCAACTACTATTTCTCCGACCAACTTTTCTCCCAATCACTCTTTCTTACATAATTCTTTAACTGGGACAGCCCAAAGTTGAGTGCACTGAAATGTACATGGCTCCACCCCTAGTTGCATGATCCACGCCTTGCCTCTAGTAAATTCTTATAGTGGTGGGAGATTGAATGGATCGTCTCGACTTACTATATGAAAAGGAATCAAATTATCTGTATGTACATAAATTGCTTAAATAGAAAGTTATACACCTTTTACATTTTTTGGTATAAGTAATTCTTTCTTGTATACTCACCTTCCTTCATGTTTTGCAAAAAAAATATATGTTAAATCGATATTTTGAAATAAATATGCTAATGTCTAAATTTTGATGAGTCAAATGACGGTAATATCATTCATTCGACCCGGCCCAAGTCCCAGTTCCATATATAGAGGAAATATCTATCTAACGGTCCACATCTCTTGGTGAAAGATCAACGTTGGAAATTCATTCATTCATTTCATTCTTATACATACCATCGCGTATAAACCCTAATTCCATTTTCTCTGTCCTCGGTAAACCCTCGTCATTCTCTAGGGTTTTAGATACAGCACATCAAAAGGTAAGATTTTCCCTATCCTTACTTGATTGTCACTATGCTATTCAATGTTGTATGTTTTCGGATATGTTCTTTTTAGTGATATTGCAGTGACTATTTTCGGTTTGATTATGAAATTGACTGTGCTTATGATTACTGGTGAGTAGTCTTTTATGTATTTTGAAGTTTACATTTTTGTTATGAAATAGGTTGTCTCTGTAATATCTTAAAAAATAACATAAAACAAAGTTATTAATATTCTGGTACTTATATTCTTGTTTTTGTGATATTTGTGTAATAATACTATATATTTGCCTGCACCTGTGAATATGTGAAACTTTTTAAGTGCAAAAATACGCTATATAAGGCCTTGTCAAGCGGAAATTTTAAAATAAGGGTAGATTTCTATATTTGAATTTGCTCAAGTACTGTACGGAGAATTGAGCAAGTAATTGGAACTTAAACATGAAATGCAAGTAGATGAATACGTTTTTGTAAACAATATCCTCCCTTTTTTTTCTTTCTGGTTCTTCAATTTTTTTTTCCCCCAGAATAAAAAGAACGCTCTTTTTGAGATTTTATATGTTGAAAAGATGAAAAACAGAATCTCGTATATATGTTCTTCCTGAGTCTGGTTGTTACGTTAATCATGTGCTCATCTTGCTCTATTGCCTAATCTTTCAGAACTGAAAAATAGTATTTGTCCTTGAGAATTCTGAATCTAAATTAGGTTGGCAGAGATTCTCTGTATATTGTATTTCTTAGGCAATGTTGATTCCATTTTTAGGTCTGAGCAATGGCCTTCCTTAGAAAAGCTGGTAATATACTAAGCCGGACTGTGAGTAATCGCATCAGTCAGGAAATCTCAGCATCCCAATCCTCCGTCTTTCAAGCAATAAGATGCATGTCAACCTCAAAAATCTTTATTGGAGGTACAATATTCTGTTCATAATACTTATTTTGAAATTATGGGGGTTTTAGATTAGTATTCACATTCTGTTGGCTTTTGCAGGACTCTCATTCGGCACAGATGACTCAGGTCTGACAGAGGCTTTTAGTAAGTATGGAGAAGTTGCTGAAGGTACTTATGCGTAGCCAGATTGTTATTGATGATGGTGTGTTCGTTTGACATAATTTGTGCCATTCATGTCATGGGTATTGAAGAAAATTATTAGAAGCATCATTGATCCTTCTATCTTTATATGTTCGATGTTAACACTTTACATGTTTGGTAGTTGCTTGTCTTTAAATAGATAATTGAATGAAATATAAGCGCTGTATACTTATTGAAAAAGTTAAACCCTTCTCAAAAAGGTTAATTGGTGACATGTAAGAATAATTAAATTTTGCTTCTTTATTAGTTCCTAGTCCTAAATAACACAGTTTCTTATGTTTTGATAAATTAATAAAACTTATGTTCTGTAAAATCATATTTTTGCAGAATACCATTTAACTGAAACTGAAAGGATTCTGAGTGGACTTGAGTGTTTATATAATCCAATTTATTTATGTTGTAACTTGTATACATTGGTGTTTTACTTAAATACCACTAGTGCTTACACGTGTAGGTGTGTATTGTTTTTCGGTGATCATTTTATTTCTTTGAATGGTTAATTTTAGAGAATTACAATTTGCAATCACCTCATGCACGTTTCTTGACGTTGGCACAGCTGCACAGGCATGAAATTATTCTTATGACTTTGTTAAAGGAAAGGTAATAATGTTTGTTATAGAACTATGTTGTTGGACTGAATTGCAAATTTATCTGTTGCAGCAATTACTCTTTACATTTTGATACTTAAAGATGAATGTTAAACAAGTTGGAGAATCTTTAAAATATATTTCTCTTGTTTAGCGGACAATCATTTATCTCGAATTGATTATCCTTGTTTTGGGAGTTAAGTGGAATAGAAAGTTGAAAACTAACTTCAAATGATGCTGAAAAACCTGATATTTCTTGTAGCAAGGGTGATTGTTGATCGTGATACTGGCAGATCTAGAGGATTTGGCTTTGTTACATTTTCTACTGTTGAGGATGCATCTGCTGCCATCCAGGCCTTGGATCAACAGGTATCCTCAACTTGTTACTTATTTATTTTCTTCAATTTTTCTTTTCGACTGGAAAAGGTTAAACCCCACGTTGTATAGTAGACGTTCTTGGGGTTTGGCTTGATTTTATTTGGTCATACATTTTGACTGATATTTCATTGTGAAATTCCTTTAGGATCTTCACGGTCGTAGAGTAAGGGTGGCTTATGCAAATGACAGGACTGGT